GATTGGTATCAGACATATGGGCTAATATCAGACTTGTGGACTTGAACTGGACTGGGCTGGGATGCTTTTTCAATGTTCAACTGCTCTTGTATATAAATATGTCTCTTTCTTATACACATGTGTGTGTCCATGAATTTGTTTCTCTAGTCCACCCAGACTCACACATAGGGCTTGTGTGAGTTCTGCAGAGCCACTGCAATGGATGCTGGAACCTAACGAGGGGAATCAGAGAACATTAATTAAGACTACACAGAGGCTCAGGAGACAGCCTCTCTGATCAGACGGCTACTGTCCCGTGACTGTCACCAAGGGCCTGTGGGTCTTTAAGCCACTCTGTAAGAGAGGTACCACTAGCCTCTGGTCTTACAGATGGGAAACCATAGGACAATTCGACAGGCAAACCGCCCACCCACCCAGCTAATCATGGCACAATGGGCTTCCAGCCCGGGCCCCCATGCGGTGCCCATCTGCTTTCAGTTTTCTGTTGGGGGTGACTCCCAGTCACTCCGTGTGGCAGGGGAGACCTGCCCCACAGGGTCCTTGGAGGCCAGCCTCACGGGGGCAGGTCCTTGTGTCTTTCTCCCACCGAGCAGCTCCGTGGCTGGGTCTGCCCCACCTGGGCTCCTCCTCCTCCTCCAAGCCATGGAACGGACCCAGGAGGAAGGTGGGGAGGCTGGTCGCAGGTTGTGCACGTACGGGCAGGACACACGGTAATCAGATAGCGCATTACAAAGAGGTAAGTACAAAAGTTGCTGCGAAGTCCGTTCCGGCTCAGGGGGCCCCACGGGACAGCACAGGTCTGCCCTGTGGTTTCGAAAACGCTCATTTCTCGAGGGGCAGACGGCCACATCGTCCCCCCAACCACTGACCTTTTGGTTCAGACCAAGAACCTAATGGTGCTGAACCCGGGCTGCTGAGAAGGTGGGGGAGAGAATGTAAAGCCCTGCTCCCTGCAGCCCCTTCTCAGCGGGCAAAAACCTCGCCTCCCTGCCATCAAATCCATTCAGACTCACAGTGACCCGTGGGGCAGGGTGGAACTGCCCCCGTGGGTTTCCGACACTGTCACTCTTGATGAGAATAGAAAGTCCCGTCTTTCTCCCGAGGAGCAGCTGAGGGTTTTGAACTGCAGGCCTTGCCG